AGTATAGCTTCTCATTCTTAACCTTGACACTAGATATGGGTGAGTGGTTGTTGTCGTGCCCTGGCTGTGCTTTATGTCTGGGAAAGGACCCTGATATCATTGGGACCCCAGAGCTGGTCTGGATAGTCATTATACTGATAGCTACCCAGGCTACCAGTTTAAATTCCTACCGTGATTAATAAATCAGTGGCAGAAAGCTGTGAAGTACAGCAAACTCCTGACATCCATACATGGATTAGCTGGTTTGCAGATTGTCTGTGCATTACTTTTTTTGACATGAATGTGAATACATGTAAACTAGACTTTCATCCTCTTTCTGAGCTGTGCTGTCCCCTTCAGGGGATATACAGAAGTCATCTAACAGTGCCTTTATTTTTCCAATGCTCTATGCTCAGTGTCTGTGGTGGGGTGGGGAGGTCTGTTACATTGGCCGTGATTTTAGAGAGGGGGGATGCAATAGTTGCTTGGTCTTTTTCAAATATTAGTGTCTTACAGTCAATTCCTGTGTTGTACTGTGCACCAGTTAGAGTAGCTGGCACCATATTGCATGATTCAAGGTCACTACAAAATCATGTGCTCTTTCAACATGAACAGTGGAGCCTAGGCTGTAAAGACAGCTCAGAATAAATAATAACAATAATAAAGCTAACAGTGCTGTACTGTTAACTTAAGTGATGTGCAGTAAGTAGGAAGTTATGTCCTGTGGCCTTGAAGCATTTAGTTTGGCTACTTATAGGTGTAAGTGAAAGTAGTTAATATTACTTTGTCACCATTCTTCATTGTTATCTTTGTCAATGTTTTTTAAAACTTCCCCAAGCATACACCTTGTTAAAAATTTAAGACTTTCCCTAAATCCTTCAGTTTTACTGTCATCATAATCTTATGTCTTTCAGCCATTTTATTTAGAATCTACAAATGTTAGGTGAGCTTTCAGCACATGGCACACACATTGTAAATTCTACAGAGCCAGGATAGCTCAGTCAGTATGGTGACTAGCTATGGGCTGGACGACTGGGGCTCGATCCCTGATGGGGACAGGATTAGATTTTCCTCTAGCCTCTGCGTCCAGACCAGCTCTGGGGCCCGCCCAGCGTCCTATCCAATGGGTGCCAGGGTCCTTTCCTGGGAGTAAAGCTCGGCCGGGGAGTGATGCTGACCACTCACCCTCATCTAGTGCCGAGGTCAAGAATGAGTAGGAGCTATACCACCTCTCCCCCCCAACTGCATACATGGCATGTAGCAGAATGGCTTATTGTCAATTCTACCACAAAACAAATGGGAGAAGATAGGGGTGGGGAGGATGAAAGTGAAAAAGAAGGATAAAGTAGTAAGCATCAGTTATAGTATGGTGCTACTGGACTGCTGGACTGTATGGGTCAGATAAAGCTCAAATACAGTGACATTACAGCCACCAGGAAAATTCATGCTGCTGTGAGGAGTCTAAACAGTTCACAGAAACAAGTGACCATTACAGACTATTTATCACAATAAGTGATGGTTTTGGGGAAGGGGGGATTGTGATGTTTTGTGAATGCACTCATCAAAATATTTCGGATTATACATGTTTTACAATTATTCGTGCATCTTCTCCCCTTCATTAGCCTAGGTAACTTAGGGTTCACTATAATGCCAAATGAAGATTGAACATAAACAATGCTTGAAACTTAAGCATTAAGGAAGAAATAGCATTGCCACTTGAAGCTGCTTTTCAGAAGGTACATTTTTGCTTCTTGGTGCGACCAAATATGAGACTTGCACAAACTATGCATTCATCTCCAGGACCTCCATTGATATAATGTGATTTAATTGCGAGGTTGGAGATGATATCAGTTGTGTTGATACAGTAAGTGTAAATTCTGGCCTGTTTGTCTTTATTTTAATAAGGTTCACTGCTAACCAGAAAAAAAAGTAAAAATACGGGAATGTGTATTAATAGATTTGGCACCATTTTCATGATGTAGCAATACATTTCTGCATTTTCAGTGTATTTGGTCACAAAAACTGAAAATTTGGGATTCTCAGTAACTAACTTTGTTATCTTTAAAGTACTACAGAATTGCTCCCATACAGCAAACTGCATTTGTGATCCATATATCACATGGCTGTAATCCACACCTTTAAAGGAAAGACATGTGATTTCAGTCATTGAGAATTTTTTAAATCATTAATATTAAATTTAATTGCTCTTCATGAGGTTGAAAATATTTGTAATCTGATATCATTATATCTACTACTGTGTAAGTGAGAAAGGAAGACTGCATTGCTGGCTTTTGCATATGTTAATTACACGTAAAATTTTGATGCCTTGATGTGACAATGGGCACTGTACTGGAATAAATTACATTATATTGGCATGAGAATGGCCCTTTTGTGTACCTAAAGTCAGATACTTTTCAGAAGATACAAAATACTTAGATATCCTATATATGCTTTAATAGCATGATGTTAGAGGGACAACTATGCCTTTGCGTGTAAAAATTATGTATTTCTGCTTTATATTTTATCATGAGAAACGGTAGTTGATGAACTGCATTAACTAGCACCATCTGTTAAGATAGTTGAGTAACACTGTGTTAGTTCATTGCTCAGCAAATCCTGGGTGCTAAATGACTGAGATACAGAAATCTTGTGGCAACTAGTATTTTCAAGAGTAATTATTTCTAATGTGTTTTTAAATTTGTTTAATTCCAACTTAATGATTGCCCCATAGAACTATTCATCTTGAGCAGTAAAAAATCTGTGCACAAAATTCTCGGTTTAGAAGTGATTTCTGATCCTGTGTATTGTGGTGAATGGTTTTTGGAGATTTTGTTTGCAGTGTTACTGGGTGACGTGAAGTTCGGCTTGTGTGTTGATTACATAGTAAGCATGCTGAGAGTCGACTGTGTCTGATGCTGTGTATTTTGGTAAGTCATTTTTCTCTGCATGAGAATGTTATTTTGTGCAATATAAAGTGCACAAATGTCTTGTCATTTATACATACATTGAGAAAGGTAATTTATTCCATTCATTGGTGGCACATTGAATTATTTTTGCCAATAATCAAAGTACAAAATGCTGAAGCAACAATTGTCTGACTCCTAAATTTTTGGACTGGCTCCCAGTTAGAAAAAAATGTTTCATGCCCAGGGGATGTTACTTAGTATTTCAATCTGTCTAACTCTCCTGAGTTCAAAATGGCAGCTGGTGTCATTTGTTTTCTTGACTGAGAACTGCAAGTAATTTGTAAGACTACAAACTAGTTAAGGCTCCAGTTACATGCTGCACCATGGTTTTATGAAGATTGTAGCTCATGCTAAGGTCAGTACAGTGTAGATATATGAAATGTTGGAAATTGTTTAGTGAGATTGACCATAATAATAATAATCTGTGGCGTAACGGCCCTCTGAGAGCCAAAGCCGACTAGCTGGCTGCTGGCCTCACATTCACATGCCTAATGGACAATCCAGTAACAGTGTGAGTGTTGTTACCAAGCATTCTTATCAGTATTTGTAGCCAGCATATTTGAAATACGAGGAGCAGCAGCAGATTTGTAACAGTAACACCAGAGTATGAAAATCTAAAACATTCCAGGTTGTTTATGGACCCACTGCGAGGATCAGTTCTGCCATTTCCTTCATTATAACATGCAGAACTCTTATTTTTGTATGTGATGTTTCCTCAAGTTGTAATTTCTATTAATACTGTGCCATACTCTTGTTTGGAGTGCTTGTACTCCAAATGGTTTTAGTTATAGTGCATTTAAGCTTAATTATAATGAAACACCTGAGAATTTTATGACTTAACTGTGGATATTTTAAGCAAGCTATGAATGAGTTGCATTCCACAAATATTTTGTTTGAATCTTGGCAATGGTGGTTAGATCTACAGTAGCCTGTTTAACCCATAATTAAGCTGGAATATATTTGGAATGAATAAGTCTTAACACTTTCAGGGCTGTAGAGGTTGATGGCATTGGTTCCTTATAGGTACTGCTGCTTGTAGTTCACAAGAATGATGACTGATAATTTGTAAATTGGCATTCATGTGAGTAAATTACTGCAATATTAAGATTTGTTCTTGTGCAGAAATGTTTACAAGTTAGATTCTTGTTAGCACCTGGACAGGAATCGTTATGATGTTCTTTCCTATCTTAGTGTTTCACTAATGAATACTGGGAATATGTGATGAGTGTGAAGTGCATCATCAAGGCCAGCAGTGGCATGAGTGGTACTATCCATACATGTATGCTACTTTTATTTGTTCACTCCTATTCTCAATTTACAAATAGAAAAGTAAAAAAGAGTGGAAGGAGATTGTCATGATAGTGTTATATTTTTTATGGAAGAATAGAGGAAAATGCCTGAGCAAGAGCAGTCACTAGTTAGTTTTATACTTGTGGTAAAGCTGACTTCTGAACAGTCTTGTAGCACTCTTAGCTTCAGTGTGGCACAGACAGGTATGTGTCCTGTATTATAAGCAATTTAAATACTGTCAGTGTTAATATAATATACTGCTTTCTTAGATTCATGTACCTTTAATTTATGTTTGTATGTATTTTAAGGAAGAAAAACAATTGTTAAACATTAACACTAAATGAAGGCATATACATTTATAATAATAATAATAATAGATCTAATTAATTTAATATGTAATAAAATGTGATACTACATAAAATAGCTTTAGTTTTTACAACATATCCAACTTTGTTTCTAAATACATAGAAAAGTACATTCTTTGTACAAAAAAACACCTATCCCTTTAAAATTGTTACATGCTCCCCATATATTAAACCACATCAAATAATATTGGCACAGATCCTGTATGCATGACACATGGATTAACAGAACATCCAAATATATTTTATTTTACAGGACCCAAGTTCTGTAATGTGGGGATTCTTCAGAACCATCTGGCAAATGATAGGGTGGGAGCAGTTCCCTTCATAGATGTTTCTTTTAAATATGATTCACTGCTCGGATTTCAGACCCAGCCATTGCCAATGCTTTTTCTCCAGCTTCTGTAACATTATAAGAACATTATATCGACATCAAGGAAACTGCAGGGTGTAAGGTCTGACAATGAAATAACCAGACTCAACTTGTGCAGAAGCTGGAAAACTGATGAGCTGAAATTATATTTTGTAGTTGCAGTAAGTTTTATTGTGCAGCATGAAGTATGCAAAATGAGAGAGAGGAGTAAAATTGTTGGAAAAGCCCAACCTTCTGAGAAGAATTTGTTCCTGGTGATGAGACACGGTCTTCCAGTGTGAACCAGAAACAAAATGCTACTCTGTAATGGGAAGGTTCTGAGTTTCTAAGACTGAAGTAAGTGTGTATGTCAAAATCAAAGATCAGTAACCATTACACATTATGAATTTCTCCCTTCAAAATAGTCATCCAAGCTTTCTGCCTCAAGTTTTACAATGTTTATGGCAGCATATTTGTCAAAAATGACCAAATCTGACTGAACAAGTGACATTTATTTGTATCATGACATTGTGCCTTCACACAGCACTCCTAGTAAGATGATTCTTGACCAAAAGCAAAGTATGTTGTTGGGGGAATATTCACTGTATTCAATGATTTTGCGCTGATTGTGACAATTCATGTTCCGAAAACCAGACACCTTCATGGGAAGGTTTTATTTTGAATGACTTTACATTTGGAGCTATGTGATGACAGTACTAAAATAATTTTTGGAAAATGATTTCAAGTATTGATTTTAGTAAGGTAAAGACATTGGAATTGTGTCTTCAGTCACGTGCTCACATGAAACTGATTATTCTGTTTCAGACATTATCAGAAGTGTAATCAAACGTTTAAGGTGTTATCTTCTTAAACAAAGGTGTGATCTGAAATATATGTATGAACTGAATTATTTGTTCTGATGAGAAAAGTCAGAAAAATATAAATATGCTGCTTTTACGATGCACGTAACAAACAATACATGACATTTTGGATTATATTTATATATACTTAGCAGGTACTGAATAGCTGGCTTGAGAAACATGATTTATAACAAAAAAGTTCTTTCGCCAGCTACATTCCAAGAAAACTAAGTTGACTAGTATTTTATATCTAATTTACATTAGATATACAGACTATCATTGTTCAAATGAAGGAGAAAACTGAAAATAACAAAATTTTGTCTTTAAAGGTTATAACAGACACAATGTTGTGTTGATGTTAACCAATGGTGCAATTGCAGATTCACTTCCAAGTACATTTTTAAGCCATATTAACTGCAAGGAGTACAGTTCTTGAGAAGCAAATAGTTACTCAGCTAGTCAAGAAACTCCCTGCCTTTTATGTAATCCTAAGTTTCATCACTGTGTTCACAAGGGCTTGACAGGTCCTTATACTGGGAGAGATGACTTTAGTCCATACCCTATTTTCCCAAGATAATGTCCTCCCATCTATGCCTAGGTCTTCTGTGTTGTCTCTCACCTTCAGGCTTTCCAATCAACATTTTGTGAGCATTCTCATCACCCTCATACATGTTATATGCCCTGCCCAGCTCATCCTCCATGATGGGACTTCCTTTACATTATTTGCTGCAAAGTACAAATTATGGAGCAATTTTTTTCCATCCTCCTATCACTTCATCCTTTTTGGCATATTAACTTTTTTGAAAAGAACCATTAAGCCATTTTATGAACTAGTATGAAAGGGAAAAGTACAGACATTTTACACAACTTCCTTCTCATAATCTTGTGATGTAAAATGTCCCCATCTTTCTCTGTTAATCAGCACAAAAATTCCTTGTACATAAGTTATTGTCTAATCTCTCTGGATTTAATAGACTTTACATTTATATAAACACATTGCATCCTGCATCATAAGCAGTGAACAAAATTTCATCCTTACCCACTGTATCACTGACACGGACAAACTGCTTTCCTGTGTCCTCAAGACTAGATGCAAATTGTTGGTCCAGAAACTTGAGTTCTGCTGGTGACAGACGTTCCTCCAGCTGTCTGAGAGCACTCAGGATCTCAGTCTGCAATTATTCCAACTGGTTTTTTGGATCAGAGGTGGACAAATTCATTGAAATTTTAAGAGCTATAAAATGCTTGGAATTAACATCTCATATGCTAAAGAGATGACAAAATTAACAAACATGCCACACAGCTCTGGCTGATGCATGTGGCTTACAGTAGCAATCACAAGTTAATGAAGAACAACTGGCCTGTACTAGATCAGTGCCAAGGTTTATCTGATGTATGTCAAGTGCACATTATGTATTATGTTTACATATATAATTTATGGTATAAAGAAATGAAATCACTGTACTGTGTTATGATATATTGCCCAACAAATATATGTATTTAAACAAAATCAAGTTACATATTATGTTTGCAATATATCTATCACATCTGCTAACAGACAAATTTGGTGAAGTATAAAAAAGAAACAAGACATGAACAGAATAAGGTTTTTTCAATTTCTTTTCAGGATGATGTATGGTATTTTAAAATTGTGAAACTGACTACAGCTGTTGCTCACTTTCTCTCTTGTACTAGCTTGGGCCGAAAGTTTTCCAAGTCGCTCATCCCTATCCACATCTGCTAGCCGCTCCCGTAAAAGATCTGGTTCCCGGCGGGCAAACATGCGGATGACTGCGGGTGTATGGAAAGCTGCACTGATAGCTGCCTGTGTTGCCTATGTAAATATGTACATAATGGTTATATTCGAGAAATTAGTTTCTGAATAACTGCAACTGCAAACATCATATCAACAGAATTTGCTACATGGTTAGTTTATGAACCACTTACCAACTGCATTGAACCCAGTTGGTCAACCAATGTCATATCACCTGATATCATCTTTGAGAGACTGTCATTGAATTCTCGCAGTTGCTCCATAGTTTCATTTTTGGTTTCTTCATACTCACTTTGGTCAAGATCACCTCTGGTTATAGCAGAAAGAGAACAAATTCTATATAACATGTATGTGTGTAAAGTTCAGGTATATGATGTCAAGTTTTAGTGTCAAGTACCTCCCACCCCTCTTCTCGTCAAGTCAAGGATTCTTATAAATTTCTTTGACAGTCAAGTTTTTATGTAAGATTTGGGGAGGAAAAACATGTAAAATGGGTCTCTCATTACCATGGCATGGCTTCTGGAATAAAACATCTTGAACAGTTGATAATTGGTAGCACTACTGCTTGGTTGGATGGAAGCTAATAATTCCTCACCATATAAAGCCAGCATGTTACACAGAACCAGGTCTAATCATATGCTGAGTATAAACTACTGCAAACATGGCACTGAATCTAGGTTTCATAAAAGGCAGAACATTTCTTAACTATCTGAGCATACTTAACCTTTGCAGGATTCTGGAGTGAGTTCATGAGGACCAGGTCAGATCCCTTAGAGATACATTTTTGAAGTGTGCAGTGTGTTTTGAGTAGAACTGAATGTTATATGCAAAACATGTCACACAGATGTTTTTAATTGTAGCAAAATTCATGAAAAGGGATCAATTTTCCTTTGTTACAATGTCGCCTATTTTTGTGTGTATATTTTCATATATGCTAATTTTTGGCCACTTTAGGATGTAATGAACAGGCAGATAATGAGGGTTCACTTTTCATCAGAATCGAGCGTCATTTGAACGTTCTTACCTGCATTCTTCTAAATCTGCTAATTGCTGAACCAACCTGTCCAACTGTCCTTCTAAATTTTGCCTTAGTTTCTCCGTTTCTGCTTGACCTCTCGATGTCATACTGTCTTGTCTAATAAATAATGCTAGGATTATTTCGAACTAACGTGGCGTTTATAAACTCAAGTGGTAACTGTTCTATACTGGCTTCTATCCTATCATGCATTCGGGGTTATCACTCTTTTCGTTAGCGGTAATCTGAGTGTCAGAATCATGACATGTAGAGCATGCCAATTGCCGATCTTGTAGTTCCACTAATGGTCTATAGATGCTGTGAGCATAAGCATTTTCTGAGGTATACAACACTGCACTGGACCACGCAACACGGGTGATAGGTTTATCTGTGATAATGTGTTCACTGCTAACTAAATGAAAGATATTTCGCGCGCTCTTTACGAACGCAGCCATTAGCCTAATTTCCGAAAGATGCCGTTTAAGTTGTTTGAAATGTAATCGTTTTGTGGGCAAGTGTTTTTATTGCGTGTAACTTGATTTCTGACTTAGTATAAAACAATAGGGTGTGTGTCGCAAATTTTCTTAAGGGTATTGGGACTCTACAGGTAAAGAGAGTGTAAGGATTTCACAGAATGTGAAAATTCATCACACTAAAATATCCAGCCGCCATTTTCCGACCTTTACCCGCTCGACTCGACTATGACCGAATGAATTACGGAAATGTACGAAGCCATCTCCTTGAAGAACGAGGAAAGGTGCTGGTTGTTCATTGAAATACAAATTATCCCAAATCATCTGCGAATTACTACATATATTATACCTAATATTAATTTTTGAGTAATCCGACAGGTTTTCAAGTTTGTGTTTACACATACGATTCTTTGGTTTGCAGGAGATTATTCGAAGCATTCTTACCGAAACGAAAGGTCCTTCTATGAGGACTTCAAACGTACTTCAGCACACGTTGCCATGAGCATGCAAAAGGGAAAACATCAAAGTGGACAGACACAAGGATATCCTCAACGTTACCCTCATGTATCTTCGTATCCTTTAACGTTTTAGTGTTTGTGCAAAGATTTCAGTGTGGTAAGTTCGACAACAGTTTGAAAGTAATATTTCAGTGCCCATCCTGAACACAGCGATTGGAGCTTCTCCAACCGGTAAGCATAGCCCTACCTTACACACGTACGAAAATTTTGCCACTTAAACAGATATATGTTATTCAGTCCAGTTTCGTTAATTTGTTAGTGTTAACTGTTGTGTAATTTAATCTGTCTTTAAGCAGTACTGTTGCATTTGTGGATCACGATTGACTGCGTAAACCTGAAGACCAGAAACCAAATTAATGTCTTGCATTTTTATAAATAATGATGAGGGTGTGCCCATAAATATTTATCAATAAAGGGATTATTAAGGTGTGGCTAGCGCATGTTTTGACAAGCTTGCTGTAGTGCGTTTTCTACAGCCATTCAAAATTTTCGTCATTCAAGGAAATGACTCAGGTTTAGTGTTGTGTAATAGCTATTTGCTCGCATTCTATTTTAAAAACTTCCTGCTTAATAGGCCTAATTTCCGAAAGATGCCGTTTAAGTTGTTTGAAATGTAATCGTTTTGTGGGCAAGTGTTTTTATTGCGTGTAACTTGATTTCTGACTTAGTATAAAACAATAGGGTGTGTGTCGCAAATTTTCTTAAGGGTATTGGGACTCTACAGGTAAAGAGAGTGTAAGGATTTCACAGAATGTGAAAATTCATCACACTAAAATATCCAGCCGCCATTTTCCGACCTTTACCCGCTCGACTCGACTATGACCGAATGAATTACGGAAATGTACGAAGCCATCTCCTTGAAGAACGAGGAAAGGTGCTGGTTGTTCATTGAAATACAAATTATCCCAAATCATCTGCGAATTACTACATATATTATACCTAATATTAATTTTTGAGTAATCCGACAGGTTTTCAAGTTTGTGTTTACACATACGATTCTTTGGTTTGCAGGAGATTATTCGAAGCATTCTTACCGAAACGAAAGGTCCTTCTATGAGGACTTCAAACGTACTTCAGCACACGTTGCCATGAGCATGCAAAAGGGAAAACATCAAAGTGGACAGACACAAGGATATCCTCAACGTTACCCTCATGTATCTTCGTATCCTTTAACGTTTTAGTGTTTGTGCAAAGATTTCAGTGTGGTAAGTTCGACAACAGTTTGAAAGTAATATTTCAGTGCCCATCCTGAACACAGCGATTGGAGCTTCTCCAACCGGTAAGCATAGCCCTACCTTACACACGTACGAAAATTTTGCCACTTAAACAGATATATGTTATTCAGTCCAGTTTCGTTAATTTGTTAGTGTTAACTGTTGTGTAATTTAATCTGTCTTTAAGCAGTACTGTTGCATTTGTGGATCACGATTGACTGCGTAAACCTGAAGACCAGAAACCAAATTAATGTCTTGCATTTTTATAAATAATGATGAGGGTGTGCCCATAAATATTTATCAATAAAGGGATTATTAAGGTGTGGCTAGCGCATGTTTTGACAAGCTTGCTGTAGTGCGTTTTCTACAGCCATTCAAAATTTTCGTCATTCAAGGAAATGACTCAGGTTTAGTGTTGTGTAATAGCTATTTGCTCGCATTCTATTTTAAAAACTTCCTGCTTAATAGCATAATTTGATGCTGTAGGGGGGGGGGGTGTTTCGTTAAAATATAACGTGTGTCTTGTATATTGTTTACAACTGGTTGTTAACAAGTTTCTGAAATTTTTCCATATTTTATTTTTGAGACTTATGGTGGAGCATGTTCAAATTTTGTACTTCGTTGCTTGATAACAGGGGTCATAAGTTGCAGTTATGCCAGTTTCATGATTATATACATTACATGGTCATTTATTTTAATTTTAGAAAGTGATATATTTATCAGGTTGCCTGGCATGACCACAGTTTTGTGTGCATACCTTATGGTTGACTGTAGTTATTAACAGTATTCGAAAGAATTATCTGTTTATTTACATGATACAATTTTACCCGTGAATTTTTGCCTGCTTTACTAATATTAGGTTTGGATCTATGATTATATAGTAATAATTTGATATCCATGTTGTTATTGTTTGAAGCATCATTGTATTGCATGCAAAGATGACAGAATTTGGCTCTTATGTGGGATTTTCAACTTATTGATGTACATATTTGTTGTTGATGGTAAAAGAACTTGGACATTCTATTTCTTGTGGAGTATGGCTCAGGTCAAGTGTACAGAATTTTATTATAATGTTACTCTTTTGATACAACATTTTTCATTAATTGTTGGAAATTAGTTCTTTCACAAACAGTTTGTTCCTCACCAATTATAATTTGTTTATTTTATAACTACACTTTGAATTTATTAACATGTCACATCTTTTATGTGACATTAGCTGAGACTGTAGAACTTTTAGTGATTTATAGAACATCATTAAATTACTTGATTCCTGTACAGTGCATTCTGTTTTGATACTACAGTGAGATAATTTTATGTATGAAAGGACATATTTATGTCTTATGTTAGTATTGTATATATCTGAATTTGTTTGAAACTTGAATGACAATGATAGGAAGAATTTGCTGGCAAAGGGAAGTAGTTCTTGAGTAACCTCTTCTTCCTTGGCTCTACAACCCAGTTGTGGGTCTTCGCTGCCTCTTTTTGGAGGTTTCCTAGACTTTGAAGTGTGCTTTTGTGAGTAGTGAGTGACCAGCCTACCGCCTCTGTGCAATTTCTACTCAATTCTGATTTGAATGATAGAGCAATCTAGTAGTGAATCAGGAGAGACTTGGGTAAGAAATGGCTGGTGAATTTTGCTTATTAAACATCTTATTCATGCTCATAAGGTTCTTTTACATGCCGTAAATCTACAACATTTGACTGCCGGTTTTACTTCTCCTCCAAAGGAAGTTGTGTTATGGATTTTTATCACCCTTAAGAATCCATTGACTTCGACTGGCTTTGAACCTGTGAACCTTGGGTCCAGTGGCGATCATGCTAACCACTAGTCTACTGGGGGGCAACTTTTGAATAACAACATATCTTTTTTAACACATGCCATTATTCTGATGATTTTCTCTTGGCCTTTAAACTTGTATCTGCTGACTGTTGAATTACCCTCAAATTGTTCTGTGTAATGTGATGCTGTGAAAATAGGGAAGGTATACCCAGAAGTTATTATCCAGTTTGATTAGGTCTTATTTCTTTAATTTAAATATGTTATTTGTATTCTGTTTATTGTAAGATTTAAATAACTGCATAATTTCACCTTGAATTCCATAAAAGTTAATTTTAAAATTTTGCCCAGTCTCTTTACATTAATATTTCTTTAATTTAAGTTGGTGTCATTGATTTTACTAACTTTTTGTTTTAAGTTAAATGTACCTCTTAGATTTTGTTGCACATTAATTTTAAGAGTGGTGTTTGTTGCATTGTTTGATTGGAAGAGAATGGTAGGAAGTGCCAACAGATTTTTTTGTCCCATTATGATTCACTTTTCATGTGATTACATGAGTCAGATTAACTGGAGCAGATGTGGTGAAGTGCCATGTCATGTTTTTATGCAGTATTGTTGTAAAAACATTTATTATTTTTAAGCTAGTCTTTGCATATTTTCTTTCTGATGAGAAAAGAATTGAAAGTTGTACATTATGGGTGAAAAGTTGAATAATACTGTGTGTGAATTGGGCTATACTGCAACAGTACATCGCCACTTAATTATTGTTGCGATGGGGTAAGACTGTTTCTGTGGAACTGGGCTTTAGATGGGCCCTTTGTCTATCCTTGAGATAATATATTATTGAATTTGGAGCAGTGGAATGATATTGACAAGAAAACTGAAGGACTTAGAGGAAAACATGTTCCAGTGCTAATTTGTTTTGAGGGGATTTTAGGTACATAGTTGGTGTGTGGATATGTAAATGCACAGCTTCCACCCCGCCCCAAATATTATATGAGTGTGATCATTGTTATTGTTGTGAAGTTCCGGTGTGGTTTACCTGATTAATTTGTTGATTACTACAGAATTCTCTAAATCCTGTTGGGTGGAGTACCAGCCTTTTGGGACTCATGGATTCATCAATTACAACAGTTATCTTATAAATTGAATTTTACTATTAGTAGGAGAGGGATAATTGTTTCTTCTTTATTACAGACATACATTTAGGGAATGTTACTGTATTCTGCTATTTTAAACTTGCCTGGCTAGTTATGTGTACTTAAAAAAATAGCTCAAATGATTTGGAAAAATCACCCTATGAAGTTCAGTAGATTCCCATT